AAGACTATCTCCATTTCTCTGTTTAAGCTCCCCAATGACACCAAAAGGCAGTCACCTTTCCGGGCTGCCAAACTGGGCAAAGCGGGATGCATAGCACCAACGGACATCATTTATGACGTCGCTGGGCCGGTGGGCCCGAACCTCGCCCTCGCAGAACTGGATGTAGTGTGCGGCGCCGTCTCCAGCCGTTCTGGGTCCAGTCTTTTCTCTCCAGCTTCTCTCCAGCCTTCGTTTCTTTCTCTCCATGGGATGCTCCCACGCACATGTCCATCCCATCTCCAGTTATCCAGCCACTCCCCGCAACACTATCTGTTTGATGTCCGATTACCACTTCGAGGCAGGTAGCGATGAAGCAATAATGGCACTAGGCAAGAGAGGGATAAAACAGAGTTTTTGGATGAGCCATGCCAGCTTAAGCCCTTGCTTTGTTCGTATTTCAACGACATCATATGCGCAGCCAAACTCTTACTCAGCCAGCTACCTAGTCAAAGTGAAAGCAAAGAGGATTAGACGATCAGCCACTCCCGCAGCCTCAACCGGCGCCTGGACGCTGCCAAGATTCGGATGCCTCCTGACGGCCCGAAAGTTGATGAAACGCAGTCAACCGAAGCATTCCCAGCCCTCTATCAGCCAACCATTGAATCAACCCCTTCATTTCTCTCTATTGACCAAGGTTATTGCAGCCGCCATTCAGGTTCATTGCATGTGGATGCCTCGTACGACATCGCCTCACGACTCACGTACGCCTGTAGTCAACGTTACCTTTCCCCTCCTCAATCTGCCAACCGCTCCAGTATCATGATAGTTCAGTAACTCAGATCCAAATAATCCTGCAAGATTAGCCAATGAAGCATCCCGTCTCGTAGGGAGTGTCCGTGAACTCTCCGGTTGAGCCCGGCTTTTTGGGTGAGGGATTATGTAACATATTTTTCCAACTTCATATCCTCCACCTTTCCCTCCATTTTCCTCCACCTCGCGATATATCTGGGTCTGGAGACTCCACGAGTCCACGTGAATGCAAAATACGATTCTCCCTTCCCAATCCCTTGCAGCGGCCAATCACACGAGATTACCCACCAAAAGTCCCGTTGTTGGATGCATAGAGCCTGAACAGGTAACCCGTCGCGAAGGAGGAAAAACAATCTCGCCCGACCGCCGCGAAAAACAACCGCAAGTGTGCAATTGCGGTGAACATTTTGATCACTCGGTGTGGACTTCGAGACAAGAAGGTAGAGACTCGAGCGAAGAATCCTTTTGAAAGGCTTGCCCGCCCCGTCAGCCCTCCGGACTTACGGACCGGGTCGGCAGACTTTCGACGGACTGGTCACGAAGTGGATCGCCACCACGGTGCCCCCGTTTCGCCAAGCGAACGATTTTTAATGTTCCGGAGCTTGACCTCCTTGGCCGACGGACGATCACCGATGCCAATACGATCCGTCCGGCATTGGCGACAGGGGTAAACATGATTCCATATCCGAATTTCAACCCCTACTTCGATTCATCTATTGGTCATCTGCCGCTACCTATCCTACATAGCGATAAGTCGAGCAAATGGGATGTTTGTATTCTTCAAATCCTGGTTACATGTTCCTCAGTTGAAACTGTCGAATTGGAAGTCCAATTCGACCTCGAGGCCGCGGGCCCGCACAGGGGCCATTTGCAGACCATACTTACGATAATCGTGGCCTGCCCAACCTGCGGTTGGAACCTCCATTTTCCACCTCACGCAGAAGATCATATAGTTCAACTAACCTCTTCGTCTACCCACGGTTCAAACCAACTACCCTGGGATAGGGATACCAACAGAAACACAAAAATGATGATTGAATACTTGGGCATCTACCAACCAAAGCCTACTGCCTAAAGTCTACCAGGACTTACTGACGGAAAGAAATCTACCTTAATCCATGGAAGCAACAATAAATGACAAGATCCCCCCGATGAAACTCTCTCTCTGTCCACCCAAGAAGCCAATGAGAGATCAAACACCCTCCATCTCTCGGATAAACCTCCAATGTTCCCTGGCACTCGAGATCGCATCTAGATGAACTCTCCCTTTCACCGCGGCACCATCAAAGACATCCCGCGCAAACGCGGCCAAATCTTCACCCGACCAGAACATCGGCTGGCGACGACATAGACCCCAAATACGCAGCATCTCCACGTGGAGAAGCCTCATCCCGCCAATCATCCACTCCGCCTCCTCGACCGTCATCCCGTTCACACTATAAGCACGGCCCGGCTTGATCCGGACGTAGGCGATGCGGGCGACGGGACTACAGACAATCTGGAACTGACTGACCCACGACCGCTCCAGACCCGGACCAGGGTCGATGGGCGCCGGGAGAAAGTTGAGAAATTGGAAGGTTAGAAAGGGCACCGGGACGCCCCATGGTACCGTCTCGTGCTGCTCTTCAAATCGGCGTAGGGATGGGTTACTAGCCCACAGGCTGTTGGCCCGCGCAGCGACGACTTGTCTTGTGATGGGACCGATGCTGCGCAGGCGGCGGTAGCTGTACATCGTGAGTTGCTGGTAGAGGTCCCGGTGGAACATACCTAGCTCATAGCGGATGTTGAAAGGTTTACCAGTAACTGCGCTCCCCTTGTCGAACTCGGCGCGTAGATAGGCGAGCATTGAATCATCTCGCGGAGAGGGAAGGGCGATGTCGTGAGGCGGCTGTGTGAGCCACTTACCTTGCTCGATGTGCTGATCGACGCCGGGAATGGGCATCGAATTAGAGTGTACGGATTCAGAGTTCACGTTGATTGAAAACCCGTCCTCGCTTTGAATTTCTGCACCGAGCGCGTGAGTACTGCCTGGTCTGAAGCTTAGAGATGCCCAATACATACCGAAACGCGGCCTGATGGCCTCCATAACCCGCCAGGGGAAGTATACCCAGTGAGAAGGATCAACATCTTGTTCCTCGTCTCCATTTCTGATTGACTGGTGCCTGATCATCACGCATGCGAGGAAGAGCTGAACCAAAGCCTCTTCATCAGAGAGAAGTGAGTAGTCGAAGATGAGGAAGGAAAACTCGTCGCCCCAGTTGAGTGAAGACTCGTGGTCGGACATGTTGGACTCTTCGTCGTCTGCGATACACGGTATGATTCTCCAGAGATTGTGCCAAATGCCAGTTATTAGCCATATGGCTATGATCTTCAACAACTGGTGAAGCGCGGTGCAGAGAAAGACCACGTGGACTAGTGTAATCAATCCCATGGCAGTGATCTGAGTGGTATGTCGGTCGAAGTCAGGAGTGAGGACCTTGTTTTGATGCTTCTTGAACAGGTGACATATGTATATCTATACATTGCAATTGCCAATCTGTGGGAAACTTTCAGCTCGTCAGGTTTTCCGCGAAGTTCTATTCTCATGCCACGATGCGTTTGGTTTGGGTCGTCGAGTACGGCTTGGAGGCGGCCCAATCTTTTACACATGAAACCTCTTTCGCCTTGGAGAGAAAGAGAAGGGAATGACCTAGTTTCATATCGACGTGACGCATTTTACTTGAAAATAAGATGAGGCACCATTGAGCTACTTTATTCACGTTACGGTCTATGTTTGGAGCCTGAAACGGGCCTTCTCCTCCAAGGTGAGTGCGAGGGGACTGGTAATAAGGCAAGTAGCAGTCGTCAGTGAAGCGCGGTAAGGTAGCTTAGGCCTCGATCATGTAAGCACGTCAAAAGATCCAAAGCACCAAAAAGCAAAAGAGTTCACCCCCCCGGTGCTGGACTGGGGGCTACATCTCTTGGTGCTCATACTGGGACTCGAACTCGGGTACTCGCTAAGCCTGTCGTCGAGTAGGCTGGTTGGCGTATAATCGTTGGACCATTAACCTCTCCACCACCCAGCCAGTTTGACCTGACCCCCCGACCTAGGGGGGCGCCTGCTGGCTGGTGACAGGAATGGACTTGACGGAGTATATGAGGGCTTCTCGTGGCGTTTGCGGAAGGTGCGCCTCAGGCTTCCTGCCCTCCTGGTGACGGGAGGGAAGGAAGTGGAACCTCAACGTCTTGAGCATTGCCAGGGATGGGAGGTAGTGCGTCTCGCCCGTTTACCTTACCGAACCTGCATTAGTTAGCGATCACGATACGCACCCAATAACATGGGGGAGCCTTCCACTGGGTTGCTCGTGGATGTGGCAGGTTTGCCCTTGGAGCCGGACTACTATCGCTTAGCTTAAGATTTAAGTATGTCATGAAGAAGAAGCCAACACTTCCGGAACAACATTTCATTCTGGAAAGATATTCATTAAGCTCTACCTGGTTTCCCCCCGAGAAAAGTCTCCCATTCTGCTGCGTTTTAGTGATCGTCAAGACCGAGCAGTATCCCCATCCTGAAACTGCAGTGACCGTCTCGCTCAAGATTCCCCAAGATCCTATGTCTAATCAGTGTCTCGAGTCTCATCTCACTCAATGACCTCTGCCTTCCTCTCTCCAAAACCAGTTCGCTAGGCTTACGAAGCCCTTCACTAGCCTGATTGGCTTATCATCCTGATGCACTACCACAGCTCCTTCAAGATGATCAATCTATCAACGGCGTTATTCGGTTTCGACCAGTGGCGATTTCCTGACCAGCTTTGAAAGAAGTCTTGAATGCTCGTAACGCCGCCTCTTGCCATCATTTGGTTAGCCCAGCGAAGCATAGTTGTGTAATGGAAGTATGCTAAGCTGAGTAAGTCTCCATCTCTCAGCCGGCATTTATTAGAATGAAGACGAATTACGTTCGAGCCAACCTCATGTTTGATGACAAATCCTTCTTCGAGATCGAGAATATGCGGCAAACCTAGTTCGCTTGATGAAGCCCCATTGACGGGGAGAGACACCGCCCAGTCAAGCCGATGGCCCTGAAAGCTTTCGAATTCTAGGAGATAGGGGCTGCTGATCCACGCCTCAGTCATTGTCAGGTTCCAGGCGACATTTTGGAATGCGCGGTCTTCCAAATATTCCAGAACCCAGAATATCTGATTTTGGTCATTCTCGTAATCACTTCGTTCGTACTAGTCAACTTGTTCGCTGTAGATGTCAAAGAGTTCCATCCAGTTCACCCAAGGCTCCTTAGTCTCGGAGGGAGAACCGTGAAGCCAATCGTAATTGCTCTTGCTGCTATTTTCTCCAAGATCCAGGCCCAACTTTCAGGTTAGAAAATGAAACGCAGAGAACATCGTAGCCGCTTGCCTGTCTGATACAGAGAGGATCGCATGAGGTGCCATAGCAGGTGATTCCACGACCGAGGACGAGACAAGGTGTTGAGAGGTAAGCGCTCTCCCTTCAAGAACTCCACGATGAAGTTGTCGTACCTATGTCACTTTGCCTGCGATAAGTGAATCGGTGTCTTCATCGTGCAAATCCCAGTAGAAGAACAAGAACGCATCCTTCCAATTGATCTTGTTGGCGTCCATGTTGGCGATTTGGTGTGCTGTGATGGAAGGAAGAAAAGTCTTCCCAGGGTGGGGGGGGGATTAATTAGACGGAGTAAAGGTATCGCCTGCTTGTGAATCCTTTTTGACCTCGATCAAAGATGTGGCACTGTGTGTGTGACAAAGAGGAAAGAGCGGAGTGAAAGGGACGAACAAAAGTCAGTTGTGGAAGCAACCCTGCCTAAAGTACTGCATAGTACTAGGTACCTTCAATGCTCGTCAAGAAAGATGTACATGAGGTAGACACCTTGGGTGGATACCTAAGACAGTCGAATGTCATCTTTCCATTGCTCTTTCCTCCCGTTGACGTCAACTTCCTCACTACCCATGGAACCAAATTGCCCTAACTAAGGTAGGTACGCTCCTGCGTTAGTGCTCGCTTGCTACTATATCTAACATGATGATTCCTTCAACAGTACCTAGTAGCTTAAGGCCACTTCTAGAAAGCCACACTATGAATGTGTGTATCCGTTTAACATGACAATCCCCTTGTCGACCACAACCAGCGAGATATTCGTTTGCAAAAATAGGTAGGATGAGCCGCTGCATTGAGTTGAGGCTATGCTACCCTCCGCCAGAAGCAAGCTCAAGAAGATACTTGATGTTAGGAGTATCAAAGTTCATCAGGTTGTCGTCGATCTGTGATATTTGTTGTACATCAAGTCCCAAATCCAGCATCTGTTCACTTTCTAGTTCGAGGTCTGGAAAGCTCGGAGAATCCGAAGGCGCTGGTATTTTCGGACTTGGGATAGATAAATTTGTTTCGCGGCACATCTCCCCGTAATCGACCATCGACCAGAGGGATCTTTCCCATCCTGGATCCATGACTGATTTCAGCTGCGAGTCAAGGAGTGAATCGAAAAGATAAGCGTTCGCATTGAAAGTCAGCAGCCGATGGTGCTATACTAATGTTAGCCCATACATGGTTGAAATACACCAACTCATCGAGCAATTGAAAACTTACAATCTTGGACGCATGATCCCAAAACTTTGCCATTCCTTCAAGTATTGATATGCTGTCTTGGGTTGCACTCAGTAGTTCCAAGTAACGCTGGCTCTCGGTATCCTTCTCGGTGTGCATGTGAAGCGAGAGAATGCTGCCAGCTAGGCACGCTGAATATGCGTAGAATGAAGCACCTAGATGGCACCCTACTGCTTCTGCATCGTGCAACAAATTGACCAGATCTCGAGCATGTTCATAGCTCTTCTGTGAGACGAGGCGCATGAAACTTGATGGAACTTGACACTTGACTCTCCGAACTTGCTCTCGCACAAGGAACGGATGGTACAGAAGGCAGTAGCAGACATGGAATACTGTACGTGCAAAGATGACATGGCCCATTGCGGGGTGATCTATGACACCATCATCAAGCCTGTAAGTATCGACAACATTCCTAATGGGATGTTGATCGACTTGGAGGCGGGACTCGACGAGGAGAAGGAGCGATGTGATTGATGCAAACTCCGATTTCGAGTCCCAAGGGGGAGTCTCATCGGTATTGCGGTCGTGAAGAAGCCTTCGTGTGCAGCGAGCGAGTACGGATGATGCCAAGATGGCAACTGGGAATCCACTCTCAACGCCAACATCGGTGCTCCAATCAAGAAGCCGACGGAGCGTCACATTCTGGCCCCATCCGCCAGAACGAAATGTCAGCTCGTCGCAAGGTAGTCGCACATGGCAGTCCTCGTCCAAGATGGCGAAATGTCTGTGTTTGCCGAGGGAGACCAGTTTGTCGAGAAGGTAGATTGACCAGAAGGATCTCCGCCTTTCTTCCTGCTCTACCAGAGGAAGAGTTTCACTGGGCTCCTTCATCAGTTGGAGATCCTGAGCTATCCGAATCGCCATCCCAATCTTGAGCCACGCGGAGCTGGTTCGGCCGGCTGACAAAGGCGTTAGTACCAAGGAAGCCCCGGTTGTCGAAATACTCACCGGTAAAGTCAATGATGGCCAGGATATTGGTGGCTTGGGCGACCTCAAGGTTGCAAGAATCTTCCACCGTCATATGATCGCCCAGAACGGATAACCATGCTTCTCTTGCATATGCTTCAATGGCATTGGATCTGTTGTCTCGATAGTATTCGTGTTCTGAGAACCTCAAGGAAGATGCTAAAACAGCCAGAAGCACGCATTTCGAAAGCTGGCCATCCGCTAGTTTCTGCCGGAAGCTTCCCTCGTGAAAATAAGAGTATGGCTGGTTGTGACACCATTGAAAGAAAGTGTCGACCAGCGACTGTGTTACCGAATCAGGCGGGAATGTACTGAATATTCTGAAGCGTCATGTTAGCCTTTTTTTTTTCTTTTTCTTTTTTGTCCTTCGTGCTTGAGCTACCAAAGGCGCCGAAGAAGACTTACTGGGACTGTGAGCTCCCTGAACGCCAGGTGGTTGACATGTTGGGTGATGATTGGTTGACCAAATCAGGAACGCCTAAAACATCTTCGTGTTCATTTGATTGGAATTGAGGCTGCTCTTCCACAGTATTGTGGTCTTCCATAGGCATATTGGCCTCGTTGAAAGCGGCGGAACTGAGCTGTATTAGCACGACAATCCTGGGTTATAAAATCTGATGATGGACACATACCTGAATTCTTGAGATTCGCGGTCGCTCAGCTGAGCTAATTTGCTTTCAATCATAGAAATTCTCTGTAGAAGGTCCGTCTAGACAGGGTCACGTCGTCAGTCTGCTGATCTTCTAGGGCCAAACACTTATAACAGTGATTACATCTTTAGTCAAGCCAAGAAGCAATGCAGTCGAGTTCCCAGAAAGGGAGGCCGAGACTGCCGAGTAGGGTTCGTATTGGCAACGCTGCATCACCCGTCGACAATTGATACATCTTGGTCGATCCCCGGAACATTTGATCTTCTTCTGCCTAAGACAGATGCCGCCATATCAGCTTCTCTGCGACTTCCACGCGACTTGGCCTTTGACAGGGCCTCCGCCAAAGAAGGGATGAAGGGCTTGGAACTCTACCGGCAACTGGTACAGGCCTGGCGGATGCGTTTGATGCCTGCGGTGGCTGGTGGTGACCTCGACTCCGGACTTCTCTCTGGCCTCGTTATGGATGATTCCGCGGGCTCCGCCATGTTGATGTTGTCTACAGTTTTCGGGCAGGGCGAAATGATGTAATGAATATAGTTGCTGAAGTCCCAGACGCGCTCGTCCGCCCCAGAGTGAAATGACCGATGAGCATTGATACGGGGTAATGCTGAGCCGTAATGCGGGGTAACCGGGGTTTATGTATGTCTGCGTGGGGGCATTAACGGCCCGCAGCAGCGCAGTGGGTTCACTTCCATCGCTTTCCCCATTCTTTTCACCCGGATGAGCCAACCTGGTTGTGGGTATTGCAGCTGGGTTTAAGTTGCAGCTTGTCGTTGCGGTCGACATGTCACTGTCATTGTGTCTACTCAAAGCAATTGAACTAAGCATCTAAGTACTGTACTAGATATTTCATGCTAGATCTTTGCCCGCGGAACCTGATTTAGGGAATCCCAGTCGACCTTACGCTTCTGCTGGAATTCTGCTATCCCATGGACGGCATCAGAGTCAGGCTCCATCATGGTCTTGAAAAGCCTGGAAATCCCGTCCCGCTGCTCTGGCATTCCCGCGTGTCTCCAACTTAACTTGACTAATTCTTTCGACATGCTTGAACCCCCGGGCGACGAGTGTCGAAGTTGCGTGAGGAGGGTTTTCGTTATGATGTCCAGTTCCGAAGGCGTCTCAGCAACCATCGAGATGGCGCCAGCAGACTTCAACTCGGAAGCTGTCAGAGACCGTGCTGTGAGCATGGCCTCCCTCGAGAGTCCAAATCCCCATTCCCTGATGACGTATCTCGAAATTACGGCAGGACACATGCCAAGTTTGGCCTCAGACAATGTGAAGCTTGCCGAGCTGATGGAAATCCTGATGTCGCAAGAAAATGCTAATCCAATGCCACCGCCGAAAGCCGGCCCTTGTATGCAGGCGACCGTGACCTTTGGAGAGTTGTCGATGAGCTCGAATAAGTCTGTCAATGCCTGGAACAGCTTCGAACTTGCGTCACCGCCCCGGCCGACTGCCTGTGCGGCCTGGCTCAGGTCCATCCCAGTGCAGAAGAATTTGCCATTTGCGCTAATAAGAACACGAGATATTGAGGCGTCGCTCTCAAATGACTTGAATGCCTGGATGATCTCGGATATCATCGGAAAAGTGAGGGTATTCCCGTTTCGAGGCTTGTTGAGAACGATATTACCGTTCGCTCCAGCCCGCCGAACGACAACGTTGTCAGACTGTTCCAAGATTGACCACTCCAACGCCTCCTTTGGCCGATCGGTGATCTTCGATGATTTTGTTGATGAGATCTTCGATTTGCTGGCGAGAGCCGCTCCAGCCCGGCTGTCGTTGGGTTTCGCTAGGGCCTGGGAGATCCAAACCCCGATGTCAACTACTTGCTGGAGGTCTACACCGGTATCAACCCCAGCTTGCTGAAACAAATACACAACATCTTCCGTAGCCACATTACCCTTAGCACCTGGTGCGAAAGGGCAACCGCCTAGGCCGCCAACGCTGCTATCAAAGGTTCGTAGACCGCATTCGTACGCCGTCCACACATTGGCTAGAGCTTGCCCGTAGGTATCGTGGAAGTGGCCAGCTAATCTCTCGGTATGGATGTTCTGAGCCTTGAGATATTCAAGTAGCCGTCGAACGTCTGGTGGTGTTCCGACACCCAAAGTATCTCCAAGGCTGACTTCGTAGCAGCCCATATCGAGTAAGCGTCGCACAGCGCGGGAGACTGCAGGTAAAGGAGTAGGACCGTCGAAAGGGTCGGCAAAGATGCAAGAGACGTATCTGCCATAAGAGAAACGAAGTTAGATGACTGTATATAGAGGCTGAAACACCAACAAACATTCCAGGAAAGAAAAACGAACTCACCCCCTCACAAGCACCCCGGCTGCACTGGCCACCGAGGCCACCTGCTTGGCACGCTCCAAGCTCTCATCGACAGTGCAGTTGATGTTTGCTCGACTGAAGCCTTCTGTCGCACTGACGAAGACAGCCACCTCCCTAACACCATGTTCGAGGGCGATGCGTAAGCCTTTGGTGTTCGGAACCAAAATTGGCATACGCAGTGTACCATTGGTTTGTTGCCACCTCTTCACAACAGGGGCGGAAAGTATTTTGCGGCAATCTGCAAGTTGCGGTATGGCCTTTGGTGAAACGACAGACGTGATTTCGACATTCTGGAGTCCTGCATCCTGTAATCTTTGGATGAGTTCCAGCTTCGTCGACGTATCCACCACCGTCTTGATATTTTGAAGGCCGTCACGAGGCCCAACCTCGACGATTCTCACAGTCTTGGAGCCCGCCATATTGGATCGAGGTTTAGCAGTAGAAGAGAATGCCAAAGATCGCTGTAAGTGGCCTGCAGGAGCCCTTGTGTGCATCCATCCCATCCAAGAATGCTCCCGTCGGCTTTGCCCTCCAGGTCGGTCCCGGACCGGGTGGGCCCTGGTACGTACCTAACAGCCACCTCGGCTGGAAATCTGGGGTACGCCGGGATTCCGGACCGCCCGGCTAAGGTTGGATAGGTACCTGACTTCCACCCCAAGTACCCAATTGAATGACTCAAGATTGTCATCTTCCAATTGTTCTAATCCCCTCTCCTTAGGATCCACACCCTCGTGGTTAAGGTTCATGACTCCGAGCTTACACCTCATACTGTACCACGTGCATGGTCGCATTTGAACGGGCTTAGAACACGAGGATCGCAGTCCATTATATTTGAGCATGAGGGTGAAGGTCTAATCTGGTCAAAGTGATGCTGCTACCCTTAATGCTGGAGTAAGGGAGACTTTACCAAATTAAATGCGCAGATTGAGAGGACTCGGAAAATGGTTCATATAATTATACAGAGCATAACCTAAATACGATCAAATTCTTGCTAGGAAACGATGTGATTCAGCACTCTTTTGGCCAGACAACCCCACAATCTCCAAGCACATTCCAAGAACATCACGAGTGTCCCTCGGGTCAATGATACCATCATCGATAAGCATCGAGCTGGTTGCATAGCTCGTCGAATCTCTGTACGCATCCTCCCGTAACTGCGCTGCCTGGGCTTTGATCTGCTCTGGGGAGAGCTTGCTACCGCCATTTGACTTGGTTCTGATGGTTTCTACAACACCTGCAAGCTGATCTGGGCCCATGACACTGCATCGCCCCGTCGGCCACGTGAAGAGGAATCTTGGGCGGTATGATCGGCCGCACATGGCGTAGTTGCCGGCTCCGTAAGATGCTCCAAGGATGATGCTAATATGAGGGACCGTTGAGCAGCTTACCGCGGACACAAGTTGTGCGCCTGCTTTGATGATTCCAGAATGCTCTGCTTTAGTACCTACCATGAAGCCAGTGACATTGTGGAGGAAAATGATTGGCGTATTTCTAAAGCTGGGTCAGCTAGAACGAGGAAAAGCTCTGAGCTTGAGAGACTTACTCCTGGTTGCAAAGCCGAATAAACTGCGCGACTTTGAGAGCCTCGTGTGGATGGATCACAGGAGTCTGGTTCGCCACAATGCCAGCACGAAACCCTTCATTGTATATGTATCAGTGAACCTTGCTTGTGAAAGGTGATTGGGTGATGAACAGCTCCTTACCGAGGATGTCCGCCCAAGCCGTCAGCATATTCGTTCCGTAGCTCGGCTTGAAGATAGCCATTCTGGAGTCATCAACAAGTCGGAGCAACACCTCGCGCATGTCGAATGGTTTACGAATGTCGGTGTTCACCAGATAGAGGAGATCATCGATAGAATACCGAGGAGGTACAGGGTCTGACGTATTAGGGAGTAGGCGACTGGGCTCCGAGGTGCGAAGTGTTGCAACCCATTCGCGAGCTTTCTGAATAGCATCAAACCTGTCATAATGGTGTCAGTTAGACGAAGACCGAAGCAAGATCGAGAGTCCCATACTCGTCCATCGCGATCTGATCAGCCAGTCCGGTTGTTGATGCATGAATCTTGGCCCCGCCCAGCTCTTCGGCAGTGACCACCTCGGAAGTGGCCATCTTCACTAGTGGAGGTCCTCCCAGAAACACTTGAGCCTGATTCTCCACGAAAATGGTGTAATCAGAAAGCGCAGGATGATAGGCGCCTCCAGCAGTTGAGGAGCCAAAGACAATGGCACACGAAGGTTTGCCTTGCTGAGATCGTATCGCTAGATCACGAAAGAGTTGGCCACCTTTATGGAAGACTCGAAACTGTTGAGGTAAGAAAACACCGGCCTTTGATAGTCAGAATATTTTCATTCCGCTTGGTGATGGTAATCCTACCGACTGAACCAGTGAGATTAGAGGCAGATCGTTCTCGAATCCTATTTCAAGTATACGGTTGACCTTGAGGACTGCCCTTATGTTAGGAGTCTGGCCTCGAGAGAAATGGAGAATAAGCCCTCACCTGTCATCTCGTTCCAAGCTCCTCCACTCTGCGTTGGGATATGCGACATAAGAAGGCATGGCCGTTGACTCGTTCTCTGTTAGAAATGGATCGATAACCAGTGCTCCCAAGGGAACTCACCTAACAAGGCCGATACCTGCAATGATATTTGCGCAGGAGTTAGACCCGGAGATCCTGAACCCCGCGAAGCATCCTAACTCAAGAAACGGCGAGTCTGCATCGAGCAGTAACGCAATCCTGTCTCGTGCTTCATTGGACCGTGCTAGTCAGCTCAATTGTCTCAGTATGTTAATTACCAAAAAGCGACTTACGCAGCAGTTGGTGTCTCGTTTGGTGTCTCAATGTGGAAGCCTCATCCCCTTCCGAGGACACATCTTTCAGATAACTGTCAAATTCTTGCAAAACCGGCTCCCATGCTTGACGATTCGCTTGGAAGTTGGATGCAGTGAGGTCAACGGTTGACTTCTCAACGGGAAAAAGCTGCTCAATCATGTTGATCAAATTGAGGGAAGAAGTAAAGCTGTGGGTATCGAGCAGAGTCAGTTGCGTCTTGGTCGCGTGTGACTCGGTAGAAGTACTGGGTTTCTGAGTATGGGTCGGGGCATTGGCGCTCTGCCGGACCGATCCCCGCGTGCCCCTCGGGCCCCGGTTGGCCCACCTCGATGTCGGCTATCAGACATCCGGGGAACAGTATTTATGACTTATGGTATGTAGATTAGTTTTCATAGACGAAATCTCGCATCTGGCTCATATTACTGATTGTCTTTTCTACCCATCGTTCTCATCGTCAAGTACCTTACCTCACCTTCCGCAATCATGACGCCTTCGGTGGATGCATCGCTCTCTCTGGTTCAGGGGCCTGCCTCGCCGCCTCTTATCCTTAAGCCGCTTGGTTCAATCATTGAAGAACAGTCGAAAAAGTATGGGGACCGCCCTGCCGTCATTGTCCCGTGGCAGTCTACACGGCTCACTTATCGGGAGCTCGCAGACCGCAGCAAAGTTATAGCTAAAGCAATCCTTGAGGTTGGACTCCATCACGGAGACCGTGTGGGAATCATTGCGGGGAATTGCTATCAGTACATTGAGCTTTTTCTTGGGGCTGCTCGCATTGGATGCCCCTACGTAGTTTTCAACAATACGTACTCGCCCGACGAGTTGAAAAATGCCGTGTTAGCCAGTGGTAAGCAAACCATGGTGATTATCTCAAAACTGGTTCCTCTACTAATTCTTCACAATGCCAAAGGCTGCAAACTCCTTTTGATGTCGCCTCAAATAGGGACAAAGTCGCTGTCGCCGCACCTAGAAAGTCTCTTGAGTCTTGACAAAGGACAGTCTCCGCTCAAACAAATTGTCTACTTGCAAAAGTTCGAACAAGCTCCTCAGGGTAGCATGCTTGAATCTTACAGTTTCTTCTTCAACCGCGGACAGTCAATTTTCATGAACGACTCCGTCTTGAGACGAGCAGCACGCAAGGTTCGCCCTTCGGATGTACTGAACCTCCAGTTTACTTCCGGTGAGTTTAGCTACCATCTAGATTCCATCCCGTGCTCAACATCCTCTAGGAACCACGGGTCGCCCGAAGGCCGCTACTCTAACTCATATGTAAGATACCGCGCCAAGCCCTGAGTGAGAAATACCAAGCTAATGAACTGTCTAGCAACTTGATGAATGATGCTCAATTTGTGGGGGACGCCATGCGACTGACCGAGGCAGACGTTGTGTGCTGCCCCCCACCTCTGTTCCACTGCTTCGGGCTCATCATGGGGTTCCTTGCTTCATTCTGCCACGGCAGTTCCATCGTGTTTCCCTCTGATAATTTCAATGCAGAGGCAACACTATCCGCTGTGTTGAACGAGAAGGCGACGGCCCTTCTTGGAGTTCCAAGCATGTTTCTTGCCGAGTTGGAGGCGCTCCAGCAGTCAGGCTCTGCAATCAACACCCTGCGGACAGGTCTCATCGCAGGCTCTCCTGTGCCAGCCGCATTGATGACCGATATTCGCGAGAGGATGCACGTCGAGGGCATTCTGATCGCTTATGGGATGACAGAGACCAGCCCAGTTACATTTATCACGTCCCTTGAGGATGCTCATGAGAAGAGAAATGCGTCCGTGGGCAAGGCCCTTCCACATACTGCGGCCAAAGTGGTAGATGCTCAAGGAGCCATTGTGCCACATGGAACTCGAGGAGAACTATGCACCAGTGGTTTCGCATTGCAGAAGGGTTACTGGAAAGATCGAGAAAAGACGAAAGAAGTGATGAAGGTCGACGACAATGGAGTGGTTTGGATGCACACAGGCGACGAGGGCTTGATCGACGCTGATGGCTATGCTCACATCACAGGACGCATCAAGGACTTGATTATTCGTGGTAAGTTTCAAATTTGAGTTCCGAAGACTTCAACTAAACATCTGGCAGGTGGCGAGAACATCTCTCCGACTGAGATCGAGAATCGATTGCTCAGCCACCCCGCTATTTCAGAGGCTTGTGTCGTTGGCCTCCAGGACAAAAGATATGGCGAGGTGGTCGCGAGCTTTCTGCAGACGGCGAACGGCACTGTGAAGCTGACTGATTCGGAAGTCAAGGCTTGGGTTACGGAGAAGTTGGGACGGCACAAGGCCCCTGAGCATGTGTTTTGGATTGGTCACCCTGATGTTGGAACCAGTCTGCCTAAGACTGGGAGTGGAAAGTATCAGAAGCATCTCATACGAGATTTGGGAGACGCGCTGCTCAACAAGTCAGCAAGGAAGGCAAAGTTGTAGAATTAGCTTCTTTTACCGTTGTTTCATTTCGCTTCAGACTTGCAAAATACTGCACACTACTTGCTGCATTTTGGGTGTCCACAAACGAGCGAACCTGGTGTGTATGTTTGATTTAATCTCAATGAATGCAATCACGCCCCTTGCTGTTTTAGTAAAGAAACATCGCTCAATTGACCAAGTTGTCATTGCATCATCAATGTAGAATCAAGCATGGCGCTCACTGTTTCATTCACAGTATCATTCCAAGTCGGCGATTGCACACGCTAGAGCAATGCAACACAGTGAGACATAAACTGCCTGCTCATGTTTCTATTGACTGGAACGCTTAGTCTGCCAGAGTTACAGTATCAAATCGTCTCGAAAACCCAGAGGACTTTGCTGTGGTAAGTTCTGCCGCTTTGCCACCTTCAACAGGTTGAAGTTCCGAGGAGCCGGGTGCCAGGGCCCACACAGTGTACTGTTGTCCGGACCGCTTCCCGGCGCTAATATTGCAGCTTTCCCGAGCATACCCGTCGGCAAGGGCATCTATGCCGTGTCACAGACACTATCCGGAGCGCGGTTCACTGTTCCCGAGATCCGAAAGCTCTATGAGGTTGGCCAATCCCATTATCAAAAATGGACTTTGAAGCTCCTAGAATAGCTTAATCAACCAAAGTCACTGTTACATGTATTAAGTCTCGAGGAACGGGCTTGAGGGAGTCTTCCTATTTCCAAAATCCTACATCATCCCCGTCACAATGGCAGCTATCCAGCAAACTGATGGTTTAACGGGAGCACGAACTTCCAGCAAAGAGCTTTTTGTGGCCGATGTTCCGCTCGGCGAAGACGGACACCCTCGAATTCGAAAACTGTTGATCGCGAACAGGGGCGAGATTGCCTGTCGAATAATTGCTACTTGCAAGAAAGTCAATGTAGCATCAGTAGCGGTTTATACTCAAGAGTAAGTTCCAACCAAATTACAACACGAGAAAATTAGAGTTATCTTGATGCACGGTTTGTTGACTTTCCTTGCAGAGATGCTGTTTCACGGCATGTTCAGGATGCGGACGAGTCCATCTGCATTGGTTCTATGGAGAAGAACGAGAGAAATCCGTTTCTCGACATTGATCTCCTGGTAAAAACTGCAAAAAATGTACACGCCGACGCAATTCATCCAGGATATGGCTACTTGAGCGAGAACGCAAACTTTGCTGACAGTGTACGCCACGCTGGACTCATTTTCGTCGGCCCTCCAGCCAAAGCCATGTCCACACTAGGCGACAAGCGCTCTTCCAAAGACTATCTCCGGCAGAATGCTCCCGATGTTCCATTGATCCCAGGATTTACTGGCACCAGTCTTGAAGCTGAAGACCTGCAAAGAGCAGCTGTCGACATCGGTTTTCCCGTGATGCTGAAAGCTTCCGCAGGCGGCGGAGGCAAGGGTATGAGAGTTGTGCACGAACCATCGCAGCTGATGACGGAGCTGAGTAGAGCACAGTCAGAAGCTCAACGCTCATTTGGTTCAGGAGACTGCATTCTGGAAAAGTTCATTGAGAACAGTAAGCACATTGAGATCCAAGTGGTTGGTGACCAGTATGGTCAAGTAGTGTCGTTCTTTGAGCGAGATTGCTCGATCCAGCGTCGCAACCAGAAGGTGATCGAAGAAACACCGTGCCCTTTTCTCGATGACGACACCAGGCAGAAAATGAGCGAGACAGCCGTCCGAATCGTCAAGTTGATAGGCTACGAAGGAGCCGGGACCGTGGAGTTCGTCTTCGACACATCGACGAGAAAGTTCTATTTTCTTGAGGTTAACACGCGACTGCAAGTCGAACATCCAATTACGGAGGAAGTCGTCGGAGTTGATCTTGTCGCTTTGCAACTGTTTGTTGCGGCCAAAGGTCGTCTCTCAGAGCTCCCTCAGCTGTCAAATCTTACACAGACCGGGCATGCAATTGAGTGTCGGCTTTGTGCAGAGGACCCCCAGCGAGACTTCCTTCCCAGCCATGACAAGATCTTGTTATGGAAGCCTGCATCTCCAGGAAGAAGCCCGGGCTCGGTTATTCGTTATGAGACAGCGATTCAAAGTGGAACATCAGTTTCGATCTACTTTGACTCGATGATCTGCAAGATTGTTGTCTGGGCACCGACAAGATCTGCGGCGATCAACATACTTGCCAGAGAGCTGGCAAACACTCCGTGCATTGGAATTAGGACAAACCAGTTATTCCTTCAAAGCTGTTTGTTGCACCCAGCCTTCCAGGACTTTGGCTACAAGACATCATTCATTCCAAACAATATCGACGACTTGCTTCGAAGTCCATACACGCCGGCCTTGCCAGCCCATATTTCACTGATTCCTAGTATCTTTCTGCAACATTTGCAGAAGGACGAACCCCGGGAAGTTGGTGGTCGTCGTCACTTCCGGACAGTCCGCCGTCAGTTCCACAACCAAAAGTTTGACCCGTTCCACCAAAGCTGCGAGATCATCTCCCTTAGAGACTCAAAATCCGCCTCTGGAGGTATTACTAGGTGCGAGGCCTGTCTTCCCAAACCTAGCTCCAGCAACGCCGACAACGAGTGGGATGTCTGTCTCTACCCTGTGACACACCACAGCCTTGATGAGAAGGATTCTTCATCCAAAGAGGGGGTAGAACTACCACCGGCGTCGAATTTGACTGCCACTTACACTGCCACAAGTCAAGCCATTCGGACAGGGGAGGCATGGTCGGGGCCTATTTTCAACATCAGAAACGTCGAGCTGAAGCCATTATCTGGCGAGCGGTCGCTAGTCTCGAAGACGAGCTCTTTGTCATCACCAACATCCATGAGTATGTCGGTGAATGGCCACCAGATTCGCGCATACCTTGCCATCCCAAATATTGGTGAAGGTCGTCAAAGTCTGCCACTCAATGAAACTGTCAGGGTATTCTGTCATTTACAGCAGCTTGGGGAGTGGAAGGAGTTCCGCAAAGATACTTTGCTCTCGTTCTATACCAATTTGAGAAAGGAAGCGCTTTCCAACAGTGACCAGCAAAGCGAGGTCAAAGCCCCAATGCCTTGCAAAGTGCTGTCGATTGCCAAGTCCGTTGGCGGGGAGGTCAATAAGGGTGAATGTGTCATGGTGATCGAAAGCATGAAAATGGAGATCAACATCATCGTAGGTGTTTCTGGAATATTTCATACAAAGTGGAGGAGTGGTGATGCGGTGGATGAAGGCGTTGTACTTTGTTCAGTTGAGTAGTCTTGCTTGCCATAATTTCATTAGTTCAACCATCAATTTTTAGTTTACTTTTAATGCTTTGCCAAAGTATGGTTTCAATTAAGGTCTACATCCGAAGTCGTTTGATGCCTGTATGTCTGCATCATGCCAGAAATGACAACTTGAAGCAGAGCACATGCTTCTCCGAGAGCTTCATTCTTATTACACAGTATGGTTCATCTCAGATACTCCATCGTCATCCGGTTATCAACTGCTTCGTTCTCCGAAACAGAGTGAACAACCCTCAAAATAGCGCCAAAGGATTTGTAGCATTAGGCGGCATCGCCGTTGCAACATCCCAGTGCTCAACAATGCAGCTTCCTTGGAACCTGAAAATATCCACCACCGCAGTCAGCGGCAAGCCGGGAATCTCCATTTTGGTATGAACCCATCCAATGTTGTTGCTAAACGAGTGCCGCAGGATTGTGAAGTTCGCAGCGTCGAAGATTGGGCCAACATAGTCGATGGCGTTTTGGCGTCCGCTGAGAGCGTTGGGGTTGTGCTGGGTGTAGTTTACGGACATGTTGGCTAAAATTGCCGCCTTTGCATCTTTTTGGACGAAGAATCTCTGGATGAACGTCTCGAAAATCTGCTGCTGCCGCCAACTGGGTGTCGCTTGGCTCGCTGATGTGGAGCAGCTGATAGCTTCGGGGTTCTCATGATGAGGTAATGAAGAAGAAGTACTAAGCGAAGCCACAGTTCCTGCAAGAAGAACCAGGTTATTCAAGATCATGGTTTAAAGATAGCTGCGGAACCTGAGCAATGGTGAAAAGCGAAAGTTACTGTGCTAGTTGCAAGCTAGCAAAGTAGAGTTGAACAGTTGGAATGTTTCAGTGCAATTTATGGCATTCGATTTTCTCTGTCTGTTAGGTATGTTAGAAATTACTCTTGAGACTAGGTTTTGTTTCGATTACTTTCGGAGTCATGCTCTTTCCTTATAAACCACGTCAAATTAGTTAAGGCTGAAACCCCAATCCTCCGCCTCCGTTCGATTACTAAAACGTTTTCCAGGCGTGGTGGTTCTGACCAAAATCCCTATTTCCCATGCTTGTTAATCAAGCCAGTGTTCAGGAAGTGCAACAATCCGGCCGAGTATCGCGGACGAAGTTTAGTAATCGAAGTTGCTCCTACGGCAGAACTCAACCCCGTTCCATAGCTTTCTAAGCCGACTAGAATTCTCTATATATCACGGTGCTCAAAAGTTTATTAATACAGACACTCTCACTGCTACTTCGACTGAGACGTTTTGGTCGCTTATGATTTACGCTAAATCTTTCTACGCGGAAAGAACTGTGAGCACGGACACACTTCAACACGATCCTCATGTCTTCATACTTGGTAACCGGAGCCTCCAGAGGGCTTGGAGTAAGTCCATTGCATTCAACGTCGCCAAATAGAATGCTGATTTGGACAAGTTTGAATTTCTTCGGCAACTGTCTGCCGATGCAAACAACATCGTCATTGGGGTTGTCCGAAATGCCGAGGCTACTAAGCAGAAGGTGGACGCCGAGCTGCAGCGTAAGAACATCCACGTCCTACAAGCTGACCTTGATGACTTCGATGCGATAAAGGTAAGCACCTAGCATAAAATTGAGGATCTTCACTAAGACCAAATCTCAGACAGCCGTGAATGCTGCATCGGAAATCACGGGTGGAAGCATCGACTATGTCATTGCAAATGCGGCTTTCATCTCAACCTGGTCATCTTACGATGGCATTAGCGTTCTGTGAGTCTATTAAACTCCACGGAATCTCATAGAAGGCATTGTCGACACATCCATACCAAGGGGCTGACAAAGTAAATAAAAGGGGAGAGAAACCGAAGCGGCTAGAACAGGACTTATTCGACTCGTTCCGTACGAACGTCGTCGGCAATGTTCATCTCTTCAATCTCGCCCTACCACTCATCCAGAGAGGTCTTGCAAAGAAGGTGATCACAGTCTCATCCGGTATGGCTGACTTGGACTTCATATCCAAGTCCGGCATCGAGGTCGGAGCCCCTTACTCGATCAGCAAAGCAGCACTGAATACAGCTGTGGCCAAATTCAGTGCGGAACACTCCCATCAAGGCATTCTATTCTTCAGCATTTCGCCCGGAGTGATCGATACGGGGCTGTATGACAACGGTAAGAACTACAATCTGTCCTCGTTCTAATTGCGTCTAAGTTCTAACATCTTGCCAGCTACAGAGGAAGAAAAGCAGAAGGGAATGGCCATGCTTGGCAAGATGGCGAAGTACGCACCACATTTCGCCGGCCCGACTACCACAGAGTCTTCGGTGAAGGACATGCTGTCAGTCATATACAAAGCCAGCATTGAGACTGGATTTGGAGGGTCGTTCGTATCCCACCACGGAAATAAAGAATGGATTTGATGAAGACATGGCAACCGTACCTCGGCGAGGCCGATCAGACGGATATCTGCGGGTTTTCGTGTTGAATCGGTGAGCTATCACTTTGCAGTCGCCTCTCAGAAACGACACGGATGACTGCTTTGCCCGACTACTCCTAGGCGCCCTCTCACTCACGGTCGAGTTCGGTGAGCAATCCGAAGAATGACTAACGTGCGGTATTTAACAAATACAAAAAGACCATAGTCTTGTCTGAAAAAGCTCAAGACAGCTCATGTGGTACCATTGCGTGTGTATGTCTCATATGACCGTGCTTCGTTGCTCAAGTGTGACAGATTGCCACGGCACAGCCTCACGAGGCACCTTTTGAACTCAGCAAATGGCTCAAGCATGGGCCACTCGGGTATTTGCATTGAGGCCAATGTGGATGATTTATTGGAAACGATCCTATGCTCGTCTCTGAGGTCAGCAAAAACGTAGATTTTGAGCCTCACTCTCGTCGTACTAGCAGCCTGGCTTCATCGGTCTGATTCACAACTGGTGTGACGCAAGTTAATGAACAGTGCCAAGTCAACCATGATATAAATTCAAGGTCATCTTCTCAAGTAGTTGAGCCATAATCTAATTCTCATACAGCTTCTTCAACTACCAAATATACGTCGGTGAGAACGTGTCGATGGCGACATCTGCAAGCGACAATCGCGACTTGAACAAACAAGTCTCCACATCAACTAGACTCGAGCAATGGACTACAGCCAGCGACGGACTTACCGAGACCCATCACCATGCGCTCCGCTTAGCCCTCAAAGGCCGGGCCTATCTAAGCAACGATTCCAGGATGAAGATATTTGCGAGGCCCAACAAGACAGCCAAAACACGTAGATCCGTACTTTTCCTATGGATTTGGGAGATTCTATCTCTCGTTCTTGCCACATGTCTCTTGGCCGTGACAATCACGGTTATCCTCGGCCAAGATGATCACCCCCTGAGAGACTGGCCCTTGGACCGGATCATAACTCTGAATTCTCTTGTCAACTTACTCTCCACCATATTTCGAGGGATCTTAGTATCTATTGCAACCGAGCTCATCGCACAGGCGAAGTGGACGTGGTTCTGGTGCGACAAATTTTCTCAACGCCGAATGGGAAACCTGCAGCATTTCGATGATGGTACTCGTGGCGTCTGGGGGGCGCTGAAGTTGATGAGAATTGTCACTTGGCGCAGCCCATCGATTCTCGTCGCTGTGGTTGTCCTCGTATCGTCCTTTGCTGTTGGGCCCTTCGTTCAGCAATCTATCGGGCACGTCGACAAGAACGAAACTCTTGGCCCTGGCACTGGAATGATCCCGGTGACGCGACATGTTGACGGCCTGAACATCAGAACACTTATCGGTGACAACGAAGGCATGGCTTTGAGGTCAGACATCAAGGGTGCAATTCAGACTCTCGCCTTGAGCCGCAACGGTTCTGATTCGGTTGTTGTGCCGACCTGTCCAACAGGAAACTGCACTTTCATCGGTCTTGGCTCAAACACCTCCGTCAAAGCTGGGTTGAACGTTACTCATGCTTCCGCCGGCATTTGCAATATCTGCACTGATATTAGAGAAATGATCGATCATCGGGGCTTGATCGACAATCTTCAGGCCATTAATCACAGCTTGGCAAACGGAATTTCAATCATCAACACGGATAGAGAAGGAGGGATGAGGGTTATATCAGGCGATCTATCGTGGACCAATGGTACCATACCGCTAGAGGCGCTCGAACGGGCTTCGGTCTCATTTGCGAATGTCACTGTCTTGACAAGCACGGCCCTTGACGGCAACATCAACGTACACAAACCCAAACACGCCATAGCCATCACTTGCTCGCTTTACCCTTGTATTCGGACATACTCGGCAATCATTAGTCGAGGAGTCCTATCCGAGACTCCCATTACGGAGACCCCAATGAGTTACGATATTCGCGATAAGAAGTCTACAGGGCCCAAACAAGCTTGGGATCTATCTGCAGTACAGCTGCCTTGCCTCATCAAAGGGAAGGTATATACCGAAGGAAACCTCTCACAAGGCGCAGACCCCTCCATGGTACGACACGTAAACGCGGGGAAAACTTCAGAGATTGGCTCTGCGTTTCAGGCTCCCGAAGAGTGTATCTACCGCATTGACAACAATTTCAAGCTTCTGATGTCACAGTTTTTCTCAGAAGAATTCTTCAATGGCACTTGCAGTTGGGTCTCCACACAGCCCAACTCGATCAACTGTGGGAGTGCCATCTGGCTTTCAAGGCTCTGGTCCCATGGAGAATCAACACCTGCCAGCCTAAAGCAACTCTTCACGGACTTTGCGACTGCCTTGACCAACCAAATGAGATTAGGTATGGGAAGAGAAGACAACACCACATCGGTAGTCAACGGCGAATCACTTCAACTCGTCACTTTTATAGCCGTCAAACCATATTGGCTCATCTTCCCTGCGATACTACTCATCATAGAAATAATGGCCCTTTCATGGATGATAAGTCTGACAGTTGTCTACCGAGACGAATTGGCTGTATGGAAGGGCAGTATACTACCTCTTCTGTTCTATAGAGACTCCTTTTGGGGAAATGCCGATCGAGATAGCGCCTCGAAGAGGCTCTTAACAACAGAGGAGATGGAGGAACAGGCGGATCAGATCAGAGCCAACTTCTCGCGGAATATTTGGAAGAAGTGATATTCTCGACATTCACTACTATGCTTCTTCGACGCGAACCTAAAGTCAATGAGCAATTGATAACGATGACGAGCAATATGGAGCATGTGCGTTCGAATTTTGATCTTCTGTTCATAATTCTAATCAACCAAGCGTAGAACAATACAATTTGAATGTTTGTGTATACCATGCTAAGTCACCATCTATGAACGATTGACATCAATGGTCTTGAGTTGATTTCAGTCACCTTCTATGGAGTGTGTGCGGTCACACTGTACTTTCGTGCACCTGATGATATCGTAACCTAGATAACCCAAGATGAATGATAAATGTGGACTTTATGAGAGAGATCCCAATACGGACATCTCAAAGGTCAGGCACATGTTTCATTTCTGTCGAAGGCGCACGCGAACTGGCATGCCTTCTTTGGGATGCCCGATGCCGTCTCCAGCCACATATAGCCTTTGTCCCCGGACCATATCTTTCTTGGCTTTAGGCCCTCTGCGCAACATAAAATAATTAGCACAGTATGGCGATGAGGAGATTATTGTGGCTAGTATATAGCCAAACTTACTGGAGAGCATCCCACTCATCCCAGGCCTCTTCAACATCGTACTTCCTCATGATCAAGGCTGCGACCAGCTTGATCTCAACCAGAGCAATCTCTTGACCGATGCAATCCCGAGGACCGCGGGCAAATGCCCTCCAGGCATCCTTCACGGGATGAAGCGGGTCTTCGGCAGGAACAAGCCTGCGGTCCGGAATGAACTGATCAACGTGCGGCCATAGGGACGGGTCATGCTGCATACCCGGGCCGCCATCCCACACAAGAAACCCTTCGGTGGGATACTGCAGACCAGTAGTAGCATCACTGAGCTAAAATCCCGGCTCTCCTCCTCGCATGGTGGAGGCAAGTTGATACAGGCGGAGAGTCTCCTTGATCACGGCGTGTGTATACCGAAGGGAGCCGAGGAGCTGAGGTGACTTGCTCAGAATGTCAGCAGCTTGGTCGGGACCCAGACCCAGTACCTCGTCGTGTTCGGTGCGGACCTTGGCCATGCAGTCTGGGTTGTCCTGGAGAACCTTGAACATGAAGCACAGTGCACTGGCAGTTGTCTCATGGCCCGCAACAAGGAAGGTCTTCAGATTGCCCAAGATGGTGTCCATCATAAGTGGATCGGTAGTTGGGTAAATCGGGCGCCCACCTGCCTCTTCTGCTAAATGCATCAAAGCGAGATTGAGCACCGTCTTCTTCTTGGATGGTTTGAGACCGGCCTCCAGAGATCGTACAATATTGGGTTGAAGCTGGTGTTGGACAATGCGATTGTTACGATCCACGGCTTTGTTCTGCCATGGGAACAAGTAGCCGAAACTGAAGGCCTGTCTTATGCCCATGAGCCTCAACTGGTCAGCAAGTGCCACTCTGAGAGGGCCAGCAGTCGTATTTGTCTGCTCGTGGAGACGCTCATCCCTGGTAAGTATCCATCAGTCCTGACGATCCTCAAACAAGACGAATTAGCTCACTTACAAGACTGCACGGACAATGATGTCAAAAGTGAGAGCCGTCGTCATGTTGCGGAGCTGAAACATGCGACCCCACGATCCATTAGAGCCGGCTTTTTGTTGCAAGTTATCCGCAAAGTCCTTAATCTCTTCGATAAGATCAGGAACCATTGACGAAACATTTCTCGAGCTGAAGCCGGGGTTGAACCAGCCTCGCCATTTCTTCCACTCATCGCCTTGGAGGGTAGCGATGTCTAAACCCTTGGTCAGCGGGTTCATGAAGTCGAGGGAGATTTGATGCTTGTCAAGGTTCTTCGTCTGGGTGAACTGTGCCGCAACGGTGTTTTTGTACGCAGCCACGATGGGTGCCTTCAACACAGGCCAGAGATCCAGATAAATGACTGGAGGGCAGTGGTCTATTTCCGGAATGTATCTCTGGTAGTTATTGATGATCCATGGGTGGAAGTTACCAATATTGATGTCTCCTGGATACTCTTTGCGAAACTCAAACATGATGGGAAGATGGCCCATGATCCAAGAGTGAGGCAGCATTGGCTATGTGCGACGGTCAGCTTGATTGATTGGATCCGTAAATGTGGTGCACGTACGATCCCCAACGCTTTCACTTCTTTGAACTTTTTTCTGATAGTATGAGCCTTCCAGCCAATTTTCATAAGTCCAATCGCTGATAAAACGAGGGCAAGCTTGAAGAGCAGCGACAAGAGCGCCGCCGACGACCATATCGTCGTGAATCCCATCTTTGATTTGAGTCGAAATGAACAAAGTGCTTTGTAGAAAGGCTTAAGTGGGTAGTTTAGTTCATCTGACAATGATCAGTAATAGTCTATCCCCCCTTCGTGCAGAACCTGAGCGTGGAGTATATATATATGCCTTCTTTCTTGGTACTTAATACCGAGCGCCTCCTGCCTCACGGGGCGTCCCAAAAGGGCAACATGTTTATATGCCCATTTGGGATCACGCCGTAAATCCAGGCGTTTGGAGATTGGTTCGTTCGATGGAGGTATCGAGTCAGGTTCTCCCTGTGCCGTTCTTTATAGTTTTTGCCCATGCTTCGAAGCCGCCAATTGTGGGGAGTATAGCTGGAGATCAACAGTCAGTGCTTGCAGATTATCTTCTTCGACGTTCCGAATCAGATATCGAACAAACGGCATCTTCTGTTCTAAATTATCATGTAACCATGGTAACGAAAATACAATTGGCCTGGCGAGCTAGGTTCTATGCCTTCCGGCGCTGACTGATATGTTGGCTTACCTCATCGTCCGCAACATCAACTGTCAGTATGATACGATGTTTCGTTCATCGATAAAGCTTCTGCAATCATGAACCTTATACCCTGCGGCAGTCTAGTTGCCGCACTTGAATCCTCAGACTTCTTTCAATGAGCTTTCAAAATGGTATACTGCATCATGTCCAAAATTCTTAGAATTGATCAACCTGATGACTCAATGTTGGAAGTTGCAACTTTGAACCATGAATAGGGCCATCATTTTAATTACATCTACCATCCAACATATTATTCATAGAATGAAAGGCAAACCTGTCTATCGCTGTGCGAAAGTGGGTGTCTCCAAAACCAGCATTTTCAGCCCATCGTGTTTGCCAGAACAGCAGCTTGCTTTATGCCCATCGACTTTCTGATACCTACTAGTTGCTCGACTGCCCAAGATCGTACATTTGGTACATTTAGTTCTTCTTGAGAGACGATGTGCAACGGCCAGATCATGGAAGGTGCTCCTAGGATATTCGTTAGCTTCATTTCCATAATGCAGGGATTTTCGATATGATGTTGGTACTGACGTGGGGTACCAGATAGACTAGGTGTAGATATACATATATCGGCAGAAAGACTTTGGATAACCGAGATGCTGTGGAACCGCATCATCTCTTTGAGTTCGTTGTTCTCGAAGCTCTGTTTGTCGACATGGTTGAGAATAATACGGTTTGTCACTATCGTCAACGACCGCCAGTTGTTCCAGACTTGTGCTCCCCAAACACTGTTATACACATGTTCTCTCCCGTTGAAGTTAGATTCTTTCTTGGATGCATCTGCTTCAATCTCGTGAAACTTCCGATCAGATTGCGAGGATTTTGACGCCCAGGCGTTGAGATCACTGTCAATGTCCACCGCTATCCGGTAGATTGCGTTGGCGTCTGTTATTTGTTGTGTGTTCATGGCTGCGGAAAGGTTGACGAGCCTAAAGCCTAGTACTGCTAAGGACCCTGGACGTAGACTATTGTACTGTGTTCCTCGGCGGCTGGCTTCGAATTGCATGGTTATCTCCACAAGGGCAGGGGGTACGGGAACACCTCGATGCATACAGGCTTGGAGCTGCGGGGAACCGGCTCAGTAGGGTCCGCTCAATGACTTTACGTTTGGACTTACAATTTGCTGTCTGAATTGTATGTAGAGCTGTATTCCAAGCTCTCTTGTGAATTGGCCCTTGCCGCGAAGGTGCAATAGGGCTGTTGCGCCCTCAATATGCGCCGTCCACGCATGGCTATCATTCCAGCTTTCGAACACTATCGTCTGCTCAAGTTAGTCGTGGCTATTGAAGGAGAAGGGGTTACAACCGTACAACAAATAGCCCAAGGAGAAGAATTGCCATGAGAGTTGTATCTGCTGTGGCTTGATCAGGGTCATACAGAGCTACATTAGTAGCTTTTAGTGCTTGTCCATACCGCTCCTTGGCCCGCAGCACTATTTTGGGGGCATTAGAGATATTTGAGATAGCAGCCATGCCGACTGCTTGGATGCTATGTCGGACTAGGTTGCCAGGAGATTCTTCGTGATATGTCTTGGCAAGCCATGATTGGTACGAGTCACAGAACGGTGGTCCAGTAGTGGTGTAGTGGGTGAAGAAAAAGGTGGCCGCCCTATCTTCAATGTTGAGGCACAACGCGTAGTTGATTGGCAGATTCCTCGGCTTTGACGAGCTGCCAGCTTCATTTCCAATCTTCTTCCTGATTCGTTGGCGCTCGTCCCGAAAGACAAGGTCTGTCAAGTTCCGATAGCCGGGACAAGGCTTCTGTCCTTTCTCGCACTTGAGACATCCCGGTTTGCGTTGATCGCACTTTTTCCAAAGCATGTTAGAAGTAGAACTTACAAGCACAGGGAGGAGGTCATCGGGTTTCAAAAACACGTGCCTTGACTTTGCGTTGACGGCATCGCTGGCAACCCTTACTCAGCGCGCCATAGTAAACCATGCTGCGGTGAAGGACTTCGGCTCAAGAAGACAACTCCGGGTCCGGCTCCCGAGTCTAAGGTAAGGTAAGATGAGAGGGCCTCCAGGCATGCAAACACCCTTGTGTCAGCTTCGTCAACTACCAACGAAAAGAGCGTTCCAGCCGAGGGGGTTGACTGAACTAAATGTCAGAAATTCCGCCGACGGTTGCTGTCAGGCTCGATTTTCAAGGGGATCGGACACGGACACGGGATTCTGAAGGATTCGAGACGGCTTACAAGCCACCAAAAGGTCATCGACCGGCAGCGGGTCGGCGGGGACAGCATCAGCTTCGCAGTCGTCGCCCTGATCGGGATTAGTGTAAGGTCTTTTGGGGTCGTTGATTGGCTCTGCTGTACTTGGTTATCCCTCTTTGGAAAGATGTTGGTGGGCCGTTCTCGGTAGCCTTTCGCCAATCATGGCAGACTTTGGTGCTCGTTCGTCAAACGCCCTCCTCAGATGTTGAGTTCGGCTTGAGCGCATGTGAGTTATAAAGATCAGGCTGGCCACATCAAATTTCCGCTGTTTATTTTGTGGAAAACACTGTCATATTATGTAGAAGCATATATAAACGTCTGATTCTATCCCTTTATAATTAATACCAGCTTTGGAGAATTCGCCACCAAAATTTAGAGACAATGGCCGACGTCGCAACCGTCCCAACTCCAGCCCCGGTTGAGAAAACCTTCCGTGCCTACACAAAGGAGCAAGGCGCTACTTACGCCAAAGGCAGGCTGGGCTACGACCAAAGGATCTACAACTACATTTACGACCACCACGTCTCAACAGGCGGCCAAACAGACTCCCTTCTCGACATCGGCTGCGGCCCCGGCACCGTTGCCCGTGAGCTCAGCCCGCGCTTTACACGGACCATCGCCCTGGACCCGAGCGTGGGCATGATCGACGCTGCCCGAGCCCTGGGCGGGGTCACATCGGCCCCGGAGCCGATCCGCTTCGAGGTCTCCACCGCGGAGGAGCTCGGGTCCAACCTCTCCCCGCCCGTCGCCGACGCCAGCGTCGACCTCATCACAGCCGCTACCGCGGCGCACTGGTTCGATATGCCCGGCTTCTGGGCTGCCGCTGCCCGCGTGCTCAAGCCGGGCGGTTCCGTGGCCATCTGGACGAGCAGCTCAAAGTACATTCACCCATCCATGCCCAACGCCGCGAGCATGCAGCAGATCCTACAAGATTTCCGTGACGAGTATATCCAGCCGTACATGACTCCGGGTAACCTCATAGCGGAGAAGATGTACGAGACGCTACCGATGCCATGGGACCTCGAAACGCCGGTGGCGGAATTCGAAGAGAGCGCTTTCCTGCGCAAAGACTGGAATAAGGACGGCACAGTCGGACCGGACGGGGAGTTCTTCTTGGGTCAGCAGAAGCTGGGTCTAGATCACGTCGAAAGATTCCTAGAGACGGTCAGCCCGGTGACGCGGTGGCGTGAGGCGCACCCCGATGATGTCGGAACGGATCGTGATGTAGTCAAGATGGCCGTTGGGAAAATCGCGAGTTTGCTCCACGAAGCGGGGATGGAGCCAGGGAAGGAAATCATCACCACTGGCGTTGCAGGGGCTCTAATTATGGTCAAAAAGAAGGAATAAAGCGGATTTGAGGAGGCGCGTAGAGGGTCCAGTCTCATCCAAGTCCGAGGTTCTGGGCCCGTCTGCGGGGCATGTGAATCATTGGTCAAATCGCGATGCGGCAAGCAGGCCATTCAGCGTTTACGCGGTTTACCTAAACCCCTGGATCGGTGGAGCAAACGGGCTTGTTTTCTCAAATGGGGGGGGGGCCAAACGTTTGGATGACATTTGGTGATGCCAAGTGTTTGCTTGATTGTTTGTTTGCCGAATGATAGACAGCCGGCTCTTTGTTAATTGGCTGATTTGGGACTTGTGCGAGAGTGGATCTCTTTGGCTGCCCGATTTGGACGCTTTCGTGTTGGTTCCAACAAGCAGCATTCCTTCGGACGCTGAACCCGCTTGTACCGCTTCTAGAACTATTTAATCCTTCGACAATCATCCCGGACTTAGTCGGCGAAAGAGGAGTACTTATGCCCCTCCCATCAGGCTGGCGCGCCTCGCAAAAAAACAACAAAAATGTTCTCCAACTTCCTTCCTGCACAAGCGCGCACTTCTCGATCTCAAACTCCACTAGCAATCATGACCCAAAAGCCGAATGTGGGCTCCACCACATCCGCCGCCCGAAGAAGCGTCATGGCGATGGACACTGGCCGGATTGATTGGAAGGAGGCTTTTCTGTTCTTCTACTGGGATGCGAAGAAACTCCGCACTCGCCCCAAGGAGGGCCACATTATCGATAGGTTGATTGTCGAGTTCTTCCAGCAAACGAGGCCGTCCATGGCGGATGAGGGCCCTGTTCTCAATTGGGATATGACCCTATTCAGACTTATGAATGCGCTACGCAGACAGCTCGGTAGGCAGAATTCGGTGTTATTTTCGACATGTACTCCTGCTGACATACGGTAGGTTTTGACACAACATCCGAGGTCACTCCTTCAACATACCTTTTTCTCGGCCAAATCGATCCTCGGGACGCTTGGAACCGACCGCCGTTTGTAGACTGGGTGCGCCTGGAAACTGAAACCCAACTTCTTTTCACCTACGCGAACAACACCATTACCCGCTTCCTCGATCACCTAGTCGTTGAAGCGTACGGGCGACAACACGCGCCATGGACGTTGTACAACCCGTATCTCAAAACTTTTCAAGAGGCCCATGACATTGAAAATTGGAGCGTTCCATTACCATTCGGATATGCTGCTGAGATGCTCTCGCACATCTCATGGCCAGAGGGTCCCCAGATCGCGGAAAGCGCTGGGTTAGTGCATTCCCAGAGCCACGAGATCCGTTTCGGCATCTCCGTCGGACCGACCCACCGCTCAGCCATACTTGCCTTCCCCACTGAAGAGCTAACGAACACACGGATAATGAATTTGACAAAGCGCTACTATACGGCTATGCTCCTCTGGGTGGGTGAGATGATCACGGGAGGGGCTATTGAATCACTCCCCGGCCTGCTGAACGACCAGTTCAAGGGCTGGTTGAAGGCGAATGACGACGAAGACAACGATGAGTCTCTGGCTGTGTCCAAGAGCCTTTGGGAAGCATACAGAAAGGTCGGCTTGCAACCATTGCATGGCGATGTGATCAGTGCCTCTAGCGGTTCATCGGGCCGCCCGTGGACTGATAGAACCTCTGAAAGTTTTGTCGAGGCGAAGAAGCCGGCTAGGAGTAGTTACTTTCAAGCTAATTAGCTGGGACGGTCCGTAATGTACATAATGCAGGTTCTTGTATATAGCTTCAAGCGGTGGCATGAAGAAAGCTCACAGAGGAAGTTGAGAGAAGGCAAGCACTGGAAACAACTACAAAGTAAGCCCTAAAGGACGCCCGTAATTACTCTTAAGAAAATTATTGAATTTTATGCAGATGTCATCGAATTGTGAGTCTCGTTCTCTGCTGTGATTGAATTGAAGCGCAGAACATAGTCTAGTTGGTGTTACCGAGGTTATTTGTACAGATCAATCGATTAGTCGAGACTTGAAAGGAGGTAGTGCGTCATCCAAGATCTCAATATTCTGAGCTAGGGAGTCTCTGCTCCCAGATTTCAGTCACGTATGACAGATTTCAAGTAAACATTCAATGGCCCCTTTTCCCACAGAGTATAAATCTTTTGAGTCTCCATCCAAGCCTTGCTCTCCTCCGCCAGAACAATGTCAAAGTTCCAAAGCAATCTCGCTAGCATGATCCGCATCTCTACGTACGCGAGGCTATAATGTCATATTAGCAGGTAGACAAAGTTGAGGAAAGTCAGGAGGCACTCACTTTCGTCCCAAGCAATTTCGAGGTCCAATGTGGAACGGCTGTAACGCCTCCCTGCGATCAGAAGCATACTCCGGATCACCTAGGAACCTCTCCGGGTGGAAGAGAAATGGGTTCTTGAAGTTGGCCTCGTTATGGTACATGGCCCACTGATGGACAGCAACAGTCGTCTACGAAGGTGAGGGATCTCGCATTAGCTGGGATGCTCCGACAAGAGAACGGAACGAACCCCCGGCCCCCTTCGGCAGAGGACAGCATATAACGAAAAACTCACCTTCTCTGGAAGAAACTCCCCGCGAATCATAGCTCCGCCTTCGGGCACCGTCCTAGGAAGACCAGTCGGCACAGGCGGATACAACCGCAGCGCTTCATCCAGGCACGCGAGCATGTACGTCAGTTTATTCACAGACGTGAGATCGACGTCCAACTCCCTGTCAAACGTCGTTCTGACTTCGTTCACTAGCTTCTGCATCTTTTCGGGGTTCTTCAAGAGGAGATACGTCACCCCAGAAAGCAGCGTCGCCGTAGTCTCGGAGCCCGCAATGATAATGATGCTCGCGTTGCCCTCGAGCTGTTGCAACGAAAGGTCCTGCGTCCATGTTATCATCTGATACAAAATATGATGGGAAAGGAACTAGACTCACCCACTCCTCCCTCTTCTTCAACAGCCCCTCCATCAAGTCCGCCCTCGGCCCTTCCCTCTTCGCTAACGCAATCCTCCTCTTCAACTTATCCATCGTCATAGCCTGATGCTCAAGCCGCCTGTTCCTCATTGCCTTGGTCGACATCACCGCCGTGATGAACCGGCTCAGTACCGAAAAGTGGTTCGCCGTCTGCAGTGCGACGCCCAGCCGGATCATTTGGAAGATCGTCCTCACCCAGGGATGTAGGTCCCCTCCCTCTAAACACCCAAACGGTTCCCCAAAGGCCAGGTCTCCGATGATGTCAAAGGTGCAGTAGTTGTACCAGAGCGTCAGGTTCACCGGCTCCCGGAGATCTGCCGTTCCCTTTTCACCAAGGTCCATCGCGGAAGAATCCCCGTCGCCCTCTTCATCTCGGTACGCCTTCTGAACCGGAACATCTGCTAACTCTCGCAGCTTAGCGATAAAGATGTCAACATACTTCATGATCACTGGCTGCTGATCCCTCAAACTCCGATCGCTGAACCCGTGACTCAAAGTCCTCCTTAGCATAGCGTGTTCCGGGCCTATTGCCGTGATGATATCCCTCGGCAGGTCCGCAATCGGCCTGTAAAACGTCTCCGACTTCTCAAACTCGAGCGGCGCCTGGCCGCCGCTCGCAACGCTCCCGGCACGGTGACCCATGATCTCCTTCCACGCTGCGGGGTCCGCGTACGCTAGCTCATCCGGGGCGATACGCACCACGTCGCCATACTTTCTGTGGAGGTCAAGCATGTCGAAAGAGAGAGTGCCGCACCAGAGTCGGTAGCAAAATGTTGCGCGGGTTGCGCGCATGAGGATTGGGCCGGGAAAGCGGCAGAGGGGGTGGAAGAAGAGGTTGTAGATGATGTACGAGACGATGTAAAATATGGTCTGTCCAGCGTCAGGAAAAGGAACTTGGAGAAAGCTCTTATTCTCGATAGAGTTACAAAGCTTGTCAATAAAAGAGCACAATACTTACGAAGGCGAAGCCAAGGCACGAAGCCTGGATCATGATGTTGATGATGGCCATGCTCCTAAAGCGGCACTTCAAATCAAGTCGGTTCAGGGCGGAAGATAGACACTTAAATTGAGAGCAAATGATCCGGATACTTACGAGACAACCTCAGATATTAAAGCTTCTGGACGAGCAAAACTTCATGTAGACTTTCTCATTCGCAGCGCACCACCCATCCATGAACCCAACCAGCTCAGCCTGGATAAGTTCGTCATGCCGAGTACGAGTCCCTGAACCGAAGCCATCGTGCAACGTTTCAATGGCCGAGAAAATCTTGGTCATAGCTTGAGAAATTATCAGCTTGAGAAATTATCGTGGTCCTGAAGAGCAAATCAGACGAAAAAAGGGGGCACGAACCTTGCCGCAGTCAACGTCGTGAGGGGTTCGGCAAGCGACCACACCTTTGGGACCGGGCAGAGCTGTCTATTCCTGCCGGTTTGTTTCAGACGGTAATCCCGGGTTGACGTTGCCATCGGCTTGTCTCTCCAGTCCGAGATACGAGGGCTGGCGAATCGGTTGCCGTGCCGAACGAATGCGAACACGCAGAGAATCATGTATGTCGTTGACGATGGCCGTTCAGATGCCAAGTACGCTCTCCGCGTCGCCAGCTTCTAGAGCCCAGTCACTTTGCAGTTACGGCGAAAATCATATAAGCGGGACTCACAATCATGGTGGAAGATGAAGGTTAAAGGACTATGGGATAGACCTGAATGGGCCAAAGCCGTTGTGGCGAGGCAGATCACGCAACCTGGAAGGCTCTATGGTCTGCCTTTCCCTCAAATACGTTTGTAATGGGGTACACATATCCCAATAATTCAGCAGATTTTATCTTCGGACAGGCAATCAAGAGAAGCTATGTGACCTGCTCCAAGACCGGCGTACTTTTTGAAAGTCTTTCCAAAGGCTCTGGGTTCGATTCGCATATTTTCCCCCTCTTCATGTTTCTCCCACCTATCAGCAAAAGCAAACCTCCTACGTCCTTGAGCCCCTAGCTCCTTTAACTCTTCTCCATCACATGAACTCATTTAAGTAAGCGGTTTGTTCTTGAATATATGGATGCTCCTTATCTCCCTGATTCTCTTCACCTCGAGCCTTATTGAACCCAAGGTGTCGTTTTAACGAGACCGATGTGCTACGTGGAACGTCTTTAGAGTCTCTCTCAAGCACTCTGATCTGATGTAATTTCCCATCTCAAGATCACGATTGCAATTCACAGCCTATTTTGGAACATGCAGAACCTTTCGCCTATGGCAGTCTGGGGAAATTAACGACATGGCTGGTGGACGGCACAAAAGCGTGCAAGTGATCGAGAATGCAATCATCAAAACTCCATGAAGAAAAGCGCAACAAGTACGATATCCTCTAGCTAAGTCACAAGCATAAAGCAACTGATGGCTAGGTCGGTAATCCTCAAGCGAACTCTGGCGCAATTCATCGCCTGCTCATTCTCACAATGAGCAACTTCCCTCCATGAGCTAGAACATAATACAATGAGGAGACAACATGTCAAAGCGACCGACCGCAAGTGACGACGGTCCAAACGTTAATCGATGGCTTCTTGCTTGATGTTGACGATCGTGGGGCTGGTGAAGACCGGTTTTGCTGGCAAAGCTGGAAGAGACTTCTGAACAATGGTGCAGTTTGCCCCTGTTGCAAAGCGGCTGCCATCTCCTTGAACCAGTGTCGTTTTGGTATGATCTCGCTTGACTTGATCCCGCTTAGCTTGCTTCTTCATCTTCCTCGAAAAAGCTGCCGGGTTTGGGGCATTTGGTAAAAGATTGATGCCCAACCTCTGCATCTTGGCCCTGACCGCGTTGTAGCCCTGACCTATGGAAATGCCTTGCGTCCCTGGGAACAGACCAGATGGTCTTCCGTATTCATACTCGGTACTTGGATCCCGAAGTAAGGCGACATTGGTCGAGTCTCGCGGCGACAAAGGTGCGGAGTAGTCATAAGTTCGCCAGTCTGGGTAACCTGGGATCAGCCCGTGGCCAATCATCCGGGCGAACTCCTTCGTATGAGGTAGCTGTATTCTGGGGCAGCCTTGTGCGGCCCAAACAGCTATCCAGCAAGTGTTCGCTAGAATGGGGGCCCTGTTCTGTCGACGCTGAACGAGATATAAGAATTGCAGGGCTCTCTTGGCATTCTTCTTCGTCTCAAGCAGTTTGCTACAACTGGAAAAGATGTGGTCGCGTACATTGCATATTGGGCAAGCGGCTATGAAACCGTCAACATCCACCGGTCCGATACAGTCCTTAGCCTCGTGGCCTCCTCTGCAACAATTTGCGCACATCAAGCGTGGGGAGCTTGGATCAGAAATACCATCGTGCTGAATTGCTGGGCTCTTGTCTGCCTGCTGAGTGTACAAGCTTGGTACTTGAAGCATTCCTTGTTCTGCAGTGGCAGTCGTTTGGCCAGAGATAACACGAAAGGTCGAGTCGTCCACGCCGCATCTCAATTTCTTCTCCTCCTGTTCGGCTTTTCGAAATCCTGGAGCATCATGGAGATCTATGAAGCTCGTCTTGACGGTATGACTGGTGCCGGAAGTACTGTTCTGGATGGAGTGTGGAAGCTCTTTTGTGGGCAAGCTGGATGGCCTTGCAGGAGCGAATGTCATCGAGGCCCAGGCAGAGCTAGCCCTTTGAAGGCCACCGCCGTATGATAGATGGGATTCGAGTAGGCGGCATCCATAAACGTAGTTGGTTGCGACACTGGGAGGCTGCGTTTGCCCGAAACCACCAGAAATGGTGAGGTCAGCAACGGTGACCAAATTGCCAGCAATGGTGCCGATCGAGCAGCACGTGGGGAGTTGTCCATCGACAACACATACGATGTCATCGTATACTGTGTCAATGGAGATGTTGCCTTCAAACCAACCTTCGAAAGGAAGCCCGAGTCCTTTGACGAGATTACCAAAAATACGGTTGCTTTCCCAGTAACTGCATAGCGAAGCGTCGATGAGATAGACGTTTCCCATGACAAACTCTACGGTGAGACTCGAGGTTGATCGGTCGGCCTTCTTTGCATCGAAGTCATACACAACGAAGATGTTCGCTGCGGCGTTGGTAATCTTCAAGTTTCCATTGTGTGCGAAGGTGTCGCCGGCAGCTGGAGTCGGGAGATTGACGGGCGGAGGCATGATTTGACAGCTTCTAGGCAACGACGCAGCAGTAGACTCTGAATCTTGTCAGCAAGTGAAGAATCAGAGATGAAGAGGTTGGATGACGTACCTAGGAGAATACCAGACGTTGAATTAGAGGTCGGGATGATTGGAATTTGGGTGACTTGATGTCAGGTGCGAAGATTGCGTGCAGCGCTCGAACAGTTCGGTCGAGGAGGAGGGAGAAGGGAAAGAAATCAGTCGACTGGTTTGGAAGGCTTGGTGAATTGTGGAAAGGGTAAGAAGGGCCCTGAACCATGTGCTACCTCCTTCCTTATGCCGACATCGTGCCTTCCGCCCCTGACCGACACAGAAGCACCGGAGGCACACAGGCGCTGGGTTGCTTGAGTGGTGTTTTGAGTGAGGATCGAAACCCAACCGATTCGATGGCAGTTCTGTGATCTTCGCCGGGCCTTCGTATTTCCCAGTCTGGCGCCACCTCCCGTAATCATCAGCAAATATGTTGTAGTCGAGAAGCAAAGAGGCTCGATAGAGTAAAGCTTTTCACAGCCAGCCTAGCCATGCCCGCTCCAAGTTTGCTGGGAAAACCAAGACGGAGGAGGAGTCAGCCTACTATGGGATCAAGACTTGTATAGCCCCAGCAACTAGAATGTCAGAGACACAGAATCGAAGACGCAGGAATTGAAGCGACCGGCACAAGGCATTGAGCATCTGATTCCTTAAAGCCTATTCATTTCAAAAATACCCATCAAAAGCTGGATCATCAATACAGTACTCTATGGCCCGTCGTCCCGGGCTATGATACACAAATGAACAAAGACGACGGACCTTCTTTTAATGTAACCAAAAGAACTCTCCAGCATCCTCCAGTCAAATAGCTAAAACAATGCAAACCCGCTGAATGCTGATGGGATCCCTTCTGTTCGAATGCCGTCCCATGTTCCGATAATTGTACACGCTTAAGAGGCGGAGCACACCGCAGCCCTTCTACCCCTTATATGCAAGATAGGCCCAAAACAAGACAACCATCCACACAACCCTCCATGTCGAGGCACCGATCTCGCGAGCGACACGCCCGATTGTCGTCCTCGACCGCTGAGACGCCGCTTTCCACGTCAAACGCGGCATGCCAGTTCCATACTCATCTGCAAAAATTTCGATCCGCGGGGCCCGGTGTGGCGCTCCCCATTGCTTCTTCAACTTGGTTCTTGGCGGCGGCGCTGGAGTAGCCCCGTTGGAGCGGATGGATCCGCTCCTAGTTCGGGATGACTGGCCGGTAAGGAATCGAGATCCGGAAGAGGCTGATGTCGAGTGCATGCTGTAAGTGCCATCATCTTCGACCTTGTCCTTGATGGTCGGCAATATGGCGCCCTGCGGCTGTTCGTCATGCAAAGCAAAGGGTGTCAAGTTCAGGACCGGCACGAGGAACGATCTTATGCTAATCGCAACGATGGTGACAAAGGCAAGCCCGGCATACTTCGCGTATGTCGCCAGCTGGTTCGGAAGCAGGCAAAGGTGTGTTTGCAACGTCTTTTTGGGTGCGCCAGGAAGGGGTTTGCCGTTGGCGTCAATCGGGTTGTACAAACTGACCATGAGGAAGCCAGGTGTAGGCACTCCCATGGCCATACTCATACTCTTAACGGTGATTTCGCGAACGTTGTCCTTTTCTGCCGAGTGGACAACTTCGCAGTAGTCGTGGTCATCGCCGGAGAACACTCCAACGATGTTGCCAACGCTCTTCACGAGCTTGACAGACTCGTCCTCGTTCAGCACGTTTTGGTATTGGTAACCGCCCGAGACAGAAATTGCATTTCGGTGGTCCATCATAGGCGCTTGCTCCCCCTTTGGAGGTTTCGTAGGAGGCCAGTGCTCTCGCAGCGGTCCGCAAGGCGTGCCCGGGTCTCGGTATAGAGGAACGTGGGTGAGAAGAATCGTAGGAAAATCGGGTCCTTCTTCTCCCGGCGCAATAGTCGGCACCTTGGCGTCTGCTGTTTCCAGCTCCTCCACGATATGATCTAGGGGCTCAACTTCCACTTCGCCCCTCCAGAAGCGCAACTCTCGCTCCACGGCCTTTCTCTTGGTAAACTTGACGTCCTTCAGGAATACATCCGCAGGTGTATGGATCGCCTTCAAATCGACCTCGGCTTGCTTTGATGAAACGGCGCTCAGCGACAAGCTATCGACAGAGACGATGGAGTGGTTGCCAATGACATCGACACGATTCACGTCCCCAAAGTACGTGTTGAAGCGATCTCTCACAGAGCCCTTCACCTGGTCTCCAAAGCCAAGATCGTGGTTCCCTGGCAAGCTCGCCACCAACTTGCGTCCCCTTTGCCAGTCGCCGGCCCTGGAGCCGCCTAGCCCCCAGCTCCCAAAAAAGATGTCGCCAAAGCGCTCATATTCCTTCAACCAGTATTTCTGGCCATAATTATCGTTCCATCCCTTAACGTGATCTTTCTCGTTCTTCGGTCGTCGGTTGACAGCCCATTGAGGGTCCTTGAAGTCGCTGTGCGCAGTCTTCCACTCTCGCCCACCGTCGAAGAGGTCGCCCAGAAAGAAGAGGGAGTCAGGTCGTAGCTGCGATTGGAGCTGCCTGTAGCCTCTGCGGATGTAGTTGTCGGTGATGAGGACCGTCAGGTCTTCCAAGGGCCACGGACGGCCGGGGTAGGATTTCGGATCGGTGATTTGGGGGTCAGCAACGAAGACGAGGTGGTGTGGGCTCGATCCGGCCGGCTATCAAAGAATCAGCATTGTCGGTTCACAGCGACAGCGCGCAGCAATTGACCTACCCAGTTCTCCCAGTTGCTCCATTTGCATTCTGCGACTCGGCTCTTAAAGACCCAGCCCTCGCCCCAAAGGAGCACGATGCCCCAGAGGCACACCAGCAGGTGCGGGAAGCTCAGGAGGCGGCGCGCAGTGAGGTTCTGTCTCAACCGCCTGCCAGCCTGCCACATGATGCCGGTCGCCAATCGTCGGCCGCGGGTTTGCCAAAAGGCCCAAAGTGTTCTCAGTAGTCGTTGTAGGGCCGCGAGCAACGGTCTCAAACGGGCGCGGAAGCTGTCGTCATTGTAGTAATGTTGGAACGGGAGAGATGCAGACGCGGATGCAGGCTTCTTGGACCCCTTGTAGGCGTAGCCATTGCCGTTGCTGTAAGGCGGAGCCATGCTGCTGGTGCTTGGCTAGCCCGGGCTGCTGCCATTCCCCTGCAGCCCCGTGTCTGTATCCCTTACCTGATTTCCCACTTCCCCTGGGGCCCCCTCTGGAACGGATCAGTGCCGCAATTCCGACCAAACGTGCAAAGGTGGGCGAGCTTGCGTATGCCAGTGTCTGGTATGTGGGCGTGTGAGTGGCTCTTCGGGAGCTCGCGCGCGATCGTCGTCGGTAGCTTCGTTTGGAGATGGATTAATAGGTTATAATAGAGCCTCGCCTATGTATTCGTACGGAAATACACCGTTAGAGACGAGATGGTATTGCAGAACCCTTCAAAAGAAGAACCCGAATTAAGATAATTAGAAAGAAAGCCGATGGTCTACCAGTGCACACAAGCTATTAGACGCCTGCAACGAAATGCCACGAAACGAAATAGTGATGTCTTGTCGCAACTGGGAAAAGGAGAAAGTCGACGCGTGGCGACAATCGAATCAATTCACGAATCGCGACGGGATTCATACAGGATGGCCCCGGCAATCCCCCCAGAAAGGAAGAAAAGCACCCCGCTAGACTGCTATTCGTAGAAGCCCCGAAGACCTTGATGCACTGGAAACGTCGCTGAACACGGCCCCACTTTGACAGCTTGAGGAAGCCCCACCCCCTTTTCCATAGGTACATAGGTACTCCATACTGCGTGCTGGCCAGCTTAACGTCCTTTGTCTTGTCCCGACTTAGTCAGCCGAGGAAACTTGCCCACACGAACAAAGCCTGGGCGGGCCGCTTCTTGGAGGGGCACGAGGGGTTCCCTGCCGTAGGAAAGAAACATCAGTCCAAGACGGAAAGCTTCTCGAACAGAGGATTCCTTGAGGCTGCCTTTCCCTCTGCACTTCCATTGACACCAAGCTTCGACGACGGATCGCATTGCCGCAGCGCCCCGGAATGCAGTGCCGACAACCTTGAAAATTGAGACATCTCGAGTGAGATCGTCAAGCAGGTTCTCAACACCACCAGTTCTGAATGCTTCACATCAGTCCAGTCATCTCCCATCAACTAATCCTCGTCTAATCGTACAAGGATTCTGCTACTGTTCGGCAATATGAGGAAGTCGACGTTCCCCTTCAAGATAGTTCCAGTCTTCGATCAGGAAGTGCAGCCAGGCGTGTAAACGAAGCCATCACCACCACCCATCACGCACTTGCACCAGTCTCACCCCCTACACCCATCCATACAGCTCCCGATGGCGGATAATCAATCCCAAAGCACACCAAAGCCACATACCGTGTCCCGACCATAACTTAGCCGGACCGAGACATCACCCGTCTCTCCCTTGCAAGTCTCCGAACCCTCCACCTTTCTTCCACGCCCCCGGAGACAAGCGAGGAGGGGGTGGGCACCTACTACAATACCATCCCCCATGACCACCTAGAACGTCAACGGCTTATTCATCCGGTTATCGAAGCGTTACCTACTGTTACGACGCCATCACCGGCTACATAGTGACCCGCTCCCAAAGTCATCCTGCGCTCCAAGTCAGGTTCCTGAACACGACCTTACCATCAAGAAGAGATCCATGGTTACGACGCATCACACGCAACCACATGCAATCATTGACATACACCGCCAGTTCGTAATAAAGGGAGACGAATGGGTGTGACAGCAAAAAGACACCCCCAACTTCTCTGGCACTAACCTCTTTCCCTAATGCTCAAGGTCCTGATGACTTCTCGGTCGACAGGCTCGTATCTTTCCACCAATGCTCCAGCTCAAAGACGATGGAGTTCTTTATGTGTGGTGTCGACATACACGTGGTAGTATCTAGGACGGTCTCCAGAGCTGGAAAGGCGGCAGTCACGCGTGGGCATGACACA